GCCATTGTGAGAAGAAGGTAAATCAGTCGACTAAATTATTAGGTCTTATAAGAAGGTCATTCAGATATCTAGAGAGTCCGTCCTTCGTAATGATCTTCAGGAGTGAAGTGCTTCCCCATCTGGAGTACTGTCACCCCATCTGGTCCCCGAGATATGCCAGGGACTGGCACTATGGCACCTCAGCTACCCTGAGAGACTGGAGCGCCTGAACTTGCCTAGCTTATACTACAGACAGGCAAGGGGTGACCTAATTGAGGTATGTATAAGCATCTCAAGGGGCACTACTCTGTCGAGTGTCCTTACTTGGAGCTGGCGGACGCTCGCCCCACAAGGGGTCACAGCTCAAGATTGAAGAAGCCGCAAGTCCAAAAAACTGTGAGGGCATTTTTTTTTTTTTTTTTAGAATTGTGAACTCTTGGAACAATCTGCCAGAAAGCGTTGTGATGGCACCGAGTGTGAGCTCATTCAAGACCAGACTTAACCAACACTGGAACAGGTTTCCGATATATTCAGGAGCCAATACACGCCCAGTTCTTGCTAACAGTGCGTAACAGAGATGTGACCAACCGCCCAAGCGGCTAACGAACTGATCAGTGTCAAAGAGGATAAAGGTAACAAAGAGTAAAAAAGTTCCTGATATTATGAGTTGAAAAAACTCTAACATGACTCCCACCTCAGTCTGGTAGGTGGATGTGGCCGTCCCAGCTGACTTCCGGGGGGGAACTATTTGAATTTTTGCCGGGACCCAAATTCATATAAGCGGGGAAAGCTTTCATATCTCCATAAAGTTGTCAATTTAAGAAATTTGTATAAGTGAATTTTCGCTTCTCGAGGGATACCTGTATGGGTCAGTAGTGAACCTGTTCGCCTCAGTGCCGCTCGAGAGTTTTCCTGCAGGAGCGCTAGAGCCTAGGGGGTGGAGGTGTCCAATGGTGTTGGTGAACAGGCCTGGGAGATGGAGAGACCACAGGGATCAGACATGGCTGCTGACGGAGATCCGACAGATTGTTGTGGTTGGTAGCCGAACAGAAGGCTCTTGATAGAGCATCAGCAGTTGATTTTTTGTCCCTGGTCGATAGACATTGTGGTAGTCGAACCAGGCTAGTTCGACCCGCCATCGTCGGATCTTGTCGTTCTTGATTTTTCTCAGCTTCTTGGAGTGGAACATGAAGGACACAGATCGGCGATGAGAGTAAAGTGTCTGCCTGATAGGAAATGCTTCCATTTCCTTACTGCTTCAACGATAGCATAGGCCTCTTTTTCGACAGAAGAGTGTCTGCACTCACTGTCTGAGAATGTCCTCGAGAAGAATGCAACTGGTCTACTGGCTTGATTCAGGGAGGCAGCGATGGAAGAGTCGGAAGCGTTGGTTTCTACTACGAATGAAATCGTCTCGTCAGTCGAGCTCACTACCGCACTTGCTATTTCCTTTTTAAGATTTTCGAAGGCGGAGACTGCTTCCCCTTGGAGAGGGACTGTCTGAGCCTTGACCTAAAGTCTGACCTTGTCGGAAAAGTGCGAGATCCACTGAGAGTAGTATGAAAAGAGTCCTATCACGCGTCGTAGAGCAGGTAAGTCTTTCGGAAGTGCAATTCCTTCAGAGGACGCAAGCAATCGGCATCTGGCTTGAGAGTGCCATGCGATATGGTGTAGCCCAACAAATCAATTGATGTTGCTGAGAAGACAGATTTGTCTTCATTGAAGGTGATTTTTTACTTCTTTGATGTGGGTGGCGACAGCGGAGGAGGGTGGTGGGTCACCGAGACTCTGCGGCTGCCTCCTCCTCTTCCTGCTCTGACTGGGGTTCCTCCGCCACTGGTTGCTCCTCCTCGGCTGCCGGCTGTTGTGAAGAAGCTGCTTCTGCCGTCCCGCGACAATCAATTTAATCCAGTGTTGACTGCTTGGTGCTACTCTTCTTCTCCTTATACATCTCAGTGTAACAACCAAGACTGTCATCAATGAACCTTTGAGCTACGTTCTCTGTTTGGGTCGTCATCCATAAGGATTTGCATTGCTTGCTGGATCATGTGAACGATTCTGCCATCCTCTTGGTAGTTAGCGTTCCTTGAGGTTCTTCTTCGTCTTCAGCGGGACTGTGTTCTGTTACCGGTAGTTGTTGCAAATATTCGTTGGTGAGCTTTTCTGTAAGGGATGCCAGGATGTCCTCAATATCCTCTGATTCCAGCTCATCAAAGCCTGCCTGTTTAGCCAGGCTGAGGATATCCCTATTCACTGCAGGGACTAAGTCCGTGAATCCCGTACAACTGTTGACTCACTCGGGCCACAGTTTACGCCACACACCATTCAGGCAACTTTCTGAAACCTCTTCCCATGCCCTGCCAATGTTGTCAATTGCATCAAGAATGTTGAAGCCGCGCCAATATTTTCGGATCGTAGATTTATTTTCCCCGTCTGTAGCCTTGAGCAGCTGGGCCATGGTGCGGCATAAATAATACGCCTTGAATGCGGTGATGACGCCTTGGTCCATAGGCTGCATCAGTACTGTAATGTCGGGAAGCAGGAATACAACTTTTACACTGTCATGCAAGTCGTCGGGATTGGGAGGATGAGCTGGAGCAGTGTCTAGGATCAGAAGAATTTTGAAAACCAGGTTCTCCTTGGCACAGTATTCCTTCAGTGCAGGGACAGCGTACACATTCAACCACTGGCTAAATATGGCGCCGGTTATCTAGGCCTTCTTATTTGCCTTGTAGATCACAGGAAGGTGATCCTTAGAGTAACCTTTCAGGGCCAGTGGGTTAGCAGCGTGAGAAATCAGCATAGGCTTCAGCTTGAAGTCACAGGCAGCGTCCGCGCCAAGCAGCAGCATCAAACGGTCTTTTGCCACTTTAAAACATGGAGCTCTTTTCTCCTCCTTGGAGATATAGGTCTTCTCAGACATCCTCTTCCAAAAGAGACCAGTCTCACTTGCTTAGGTGAGTAGCCTCCTTCCTCGATAATCCGTTTGAATTCTGGAGGGAATGTCTAGGCAGCAACCGTATCTGAACTGGCAGCTTCACCAGTCATCTTAATATTGTGGAACTTGTGGAATTATACCGACTCTTAAATCGTTGAAACCATCCTCGGCTGGCCGTAATGTCTCTTCCTTTGATCCTTCATCCTCTGCTGCCTTAAGTAGTCAAACAAGGTTCTGGCCTTATGCTGGATAACCATAAGGCTCACAGGGGCATTGCATTGATTTTGGTCCTCCATCCACATTGCCAACATCCTTTCCACCTTTTCTATCACAGTGCTTCTAGTATGAATCGTCTTAGTAGCACTAACCTTAATCTTGTCAGCGTTGGTCTGGATAGTACGCACTGCTGTGGGGGTTAGACCAAGCACAGCGGCTATGTCCACAGCACGTTCCCCTTTTTCAAATCGGGCTAATACATCCATTTTCGTAGCAAAGTTAATGGTCTTACGTTGCCTCTTCACTACACTAGCATCATTAGCACTTGATGGGTGCTTGGAAGACATTTCGAATGGTTAGAGTACAGGTTTAGAGCAAAAACACTTGTACACACACGAATGATGTGAAGTCGTAACATAGACTGGCTTGGAGTCGCTTGGGGACGCTGTAACGTTCCGTAAGTGAGGGCAGTGCGCCAAGCCGAGAGCGCATAGCGTGGCCAGTCAAGAGAGGGTGATGCGCCCTGGAAAGTAGTCTGCGACGACGCAGTATCGGATCACCGGGACATTAAACGAATTTTTGGTCTCTAAAGTTTAGCGATGTAGTACTGAAACAACGTTAAGCGGGACGCCGTTAAGCGGGACGCCGTTAAGCGAGGACTTACTGGAGTAATTATTTACACTTCAGGTAACTATTAAATATTACTTTAACGAAATATAACCTAAAATAACTGTAACATATATTTAACTCCCTAACTAAATTTTAAATTATTTTTATTGTTCTGCTTTTAAATATATTAGATAAACAGTTATGATACATGTGTTGAAGACACATCATTATTAACTGAACCATGTCATAATGTGTTGAAGACATATCATTATTAACTGAACCATGTCATAATGTGTTGAAAACACATCATTATTAACTGAACAATGTCATAATGTGTTGAAGACACATCATTATTAACTGAACCATGTCATAATGTGTTGAAGACACATCATTATTAACTGAACCATGTCATAATGTGTTGAAGACACATCATTATTAACTGAACCATGTCATAATGTGTTGAAGACACATCATTATTAACTGAACCATGTCATAATGTGTTGAAGACACATCATTATTAACTGAACCATGTCATAATGTGTTGAAGACACATCATTATTAACTGAACCATGTCATAATGTGTTGAAGACACATCATTATTAACTGAACCATGGAATGATCTCATCAAAAAAGTTTATAAACACCTCAAAGGACATTACTCAAGTCAGAGACTAGAGTCAAAGAAGCCACAAATACAGAAAACTGTTAGATTTAATTTCTCTGGAGTGAGAGTTGTAAACTCTTGGAATAACCTGCCAGAGAATGTTGTGATAGAACTGAGAGTGAATTGTCATAGTCACAGGGAGAAGTGGTTATACTCAGTTAATTTATCAAACTCATGTGGTTAAATCAACATACTCAATGTAATGAAGGGCAAGATTCCCCTCCAAATATTTTGTTATAATATACCAGATATCTCGCCAAAACATGTTGGTAGCAGTGCCACGATGCGACCGTCACGGCCTCCCCACCCTGGGGAGTGCAGGCAATGATGGTTACCAACAGGTAGTGCAGCTTATCTGGGGTAAAGTCATCATACTCCAAGGGATGTCATTGTGATGGGGTCTAAGCCATTACAATGAAGGGACTAAATCATCGTACTGAAGGGGCTAAGTTATCATATTGAAAGAGTCTCTGTAGTAGTGGCAGTGATGTTTCGGTCATCATACTTGATGGATTATCATCATCCCATCATACTTCAAGGGTTATGTCATCATACTAGTGAGGTTAGACCACTACCAAAATATTTGTCACTCACCCATATCAGGAGCGTTATTTTCGACACACAGACAAAGTGCCGGACGTTGCTTGGAGTTTATGGAGAAGCGTATATCTGTATCAACACCCGCCTGGAAGAGTTTCTGAGCCCTGTTAACATCGTTGTTCTGGATGGCGACTAGTAGCTGTGAGTCTAGAGCCCAGCGGCGACTTGCTAATGTTGCCATCATTCACGCCTGGATAATTAATAAACTTTACTAAAACTGTGAAATATAAAGTTTATTCATTATTTATTCATTAAAACATTACTAAACATGTAACAAGAATTCCTATGTTCTTAACACACAAGGAATGAAGTTATCAATACAGCACTACATGATGATATAAGCTTTGGTTGGAATTACCTTAACTCTGCTTATATAAAAAAGTTGAGGAGTTAAGTTGCAAAACCCAAAATGGTCTTTTCTCCATTTATTTGTAAAAATATATTAGTCACAGTTTATTAGTAATTTCACCATCCTAGCATCATAAAATGACTTTAGTTTCTTCAGGGAAAAAAAAAAATATATATATATATATATATACAGTAGTCCCTCGGTTAACGAATTAGCTCCCATAAGGATCTTCAATTCGGTTAACAAACAAAACTTCGATTAACGAAATCCTTACAACAAACACGTTTTGTTGTGAGCATCAGCTGATGGGCTAGTCCGCCAATTCAGTAATCTGTTCTATGTTTACATTCGTTTCCAGTGGAGTAAATATAAATAAAGTTGTGCTCTTTAATATTTTTGCATTTTTTATACTAAAATTATTATTCAATTTAATATTTAGTTAACATATTGATAATACATGCAGTACAGGGAACTAGTTTTTTGTGCGCCCATCAGCCGCTTGACTCGCCTACCAGGCGTCAGTTTGGCTTTGTTTACAGTGGAGTGAACATCGTTTTTGTTGACGTCTTGAATATTTTTGCATTTTTACATTAAAATTATTGGTCATTCTGAAATTTAGTTAACATATTGATAATATATAGTGCAGTGCAGTGTTGATTTAAATAAAATAATCTTGAATTACACCTAGTGAACTTAAATTTTATTGGTGAAATTACTGCATCAAGCATGGGTCCCCTGAAAGGTGATTTCTTCCCCATCCCCAATTCCTTCTCTTCTCCCTTCTCCTCCACCCCTACTTCTAATTCCCATCATCATCAACCAGGAACCTTCTACATACACACCTCAACATAAGTGTACTTTACTGCATCTTTTTTCAAATTAGTATGTACTTTTCTGTGAGCTGGAACCAATTACCCAATATCCCATTGAAACAAAGGATTCGGTTAAAGAAATTTTCGGTTAAGGTAGGTCAGGACAGGTTAAGGTAGGTCAGGACAGGTTAAGGTAGGTCAGGACAGGTTAAGGTAGGTTAGGACAGGTTAAGGTAGGTTAGGACAGGTTAAGGTAGGTCAGGACAGGTTAAGGTAGGTCAGGACAGGTTAAGGTAGATCATGACAGGTTAAGGTAGGTCAGGATAGGTTAAGGTAGGTCAGGACAGGTTAAGGTAGGTCAGGGCAGGTTAAGGTAGGTCAGGGCAGGTTAAGGTAGGTCAGGACAGGTTAAAGTAGGTCAAGGTAGGTTAGGACAGGTTAAGGTAGGTCAAGGTAGGTTAGGACAGGTCAGGATAGGTTAAGGTAGGTTAAGGTAGGGCGGGATAGGTTAATGTAGGTTAGGATAGGTTATGGTAGGTGAGGATATGATAAGATAGGTCAGAACAGGTTAAGGTATGTCAGCACAGGTTAAGATAGGTCAGGACAGGTTAAGATAGGTCAGAACAGGTTAAGGTAGGTCAGAACAGGTTAAGATAGGTCAGGACAGGTTAAGGTAAGTTAGGATAGGTTATGATAGGTTAGGATAGGTTAGAGTAGGTTAGGCTAAGGTAGGGTAGGTTAGGCAAAGTTAATCCTAAGTTAAGTCAAGGTTTAAACATTCATATACTGTGTTCGTCAGACCTACGAGAGAGAGAGAGAGAGAGAGAGAGAGAGAGAGAGAGAGAGAGAGAGAGAGAGAGAGAGAGAGACATTCCTGCTGAAGGTCATCATGTTATATTTGATATAGTACAGTACACATTAACAGCAGCACAGTTGCTGGTACCTGCACTCTTCTTTAACTTCATCTTTTTTTCTAAACTACATTAAACTAACCTAACTTAACCCATTCAGTGTTATCGAAGATTTTAGTCGGCTTAAGAGAGAAAACATGTAGCACTGAGAAGGGTAACTAAATCTAACTTAACCTAATTATCTCTAGTTAACATATACAGTACAGTATTAGTACCACATCGAAGGTTTTGTTAGCTCTGCTTGGCGTAATAACTAGCCATCATTTTAGTTGTTTTCGAATCAGTTGATGATGAACAAGATTATTATTATCATCTATTTTATTTTCATTTTGTTATTTTTTTTACGGGGATTAACCCACCCGGGCACAGGTCACTGACCCACATCGGGGCCTGAGGAGAGAAAATGTAACAACAACAACAACAACAACAACAACAACAACAATAATAATAATAATAATAATAATAATTATTATAATAATAATAATAATTCATAGTAAATAAAATTAAAAATAAATAAATAAAATAAAATAATAATGATAATAACAAAACTAATAATAAATAATAACCATAGAGGAACACACACACAAAAAAATCAATAGTGAGAAACAATATATGTATGTTGTGTTGTTAAAGTAAGAGAAACAATTGAGACCCTGCAATTGTGTGTACATGAGGCAGAAAGTCAGATCATCAACCTGGGGCTTGGTCACATGGCAGCAGGGTTTACCATTATGCTTCCAATATCTTCCCAGGCGGTAGTGCCTCCCTGTTTGATAGCTGCCTACTGTATACCTGGGTATAATATAGCACATTTACAATGGGTCTCAACATATTAAGTGAGAGCTGAACAAGTTGTAGACGTTTGATAATATCAATAATCCTCAACCTGTCAAATTAAATTTAACCTTAACTCAAACCCTAACTGATAGTGACCCCGCTAACACGGCAATTATCTTTATAATACCATTAACTAGTAAAAATTATAATTAACTAGGTCCTTAACTACTGTCTACACAAGCTAATAAAGTAATTATAGCTTGAAAAGGGCACGTTATGTCTTATGTAATCTGATAGAAATAATTCATTATTAAGTAATACAACTTGAAAGTGGTAATTAACGTTCATAAACTGGCAGTTATTTTTAACTATTAACCGCTTTTTGACAGGTAATTTCATAAGTTCTGTCGTCTTGTAGTTCTAAATTTGAGAAATAAATAAATAATTCCTGCTGTTGAAGGACTAATATTCCAGATTTTTATAGACAATTAGGTCAGTAGTTTCTGATTTTATTAATAAATTAACCCATATCCGACCATACAAACCCTGCCCATGAACCGTTACCATGGTACAATTAATACTGAATTAATGACCGTCACTGTATATTAACAATTAATGCTGGAAACTGACTTGTCATCATTTTCTTTAACATAAAACCCCTTTGTTACCAAACCAACATCAAATTTTGAGTGATCTAAAACAAAAGTTTATCACATGAACCTTATCACTGTTGATCAAGCCTACAAAGTTTGAGGCAAATCCACAAACCCGTTCTTGAGTTATTTAGGGGAGACTAGATAGACAGCCAACACGTCCCCTGTTGCCGGTAAAATATTTAATTCCTTATGTTAATAACTCAATATTTTGATGTATACATCAATCGATTGACTTAAATAAACTGAAATACATCAGGCGTCGTGACAGTGTCATGTAACACTATATTTATATATACTGTAATATATCAGGCGTCGTGACAGTGTCATGTAACACTAAATTTATATATACTGTAATATATCAGGCGTCGTGACAGTGTCATGTAACACTAAATTTATATATACTGTAATATATCAGGCGTCGTGACAGTGTCATCAGGCGTCGTGACAGTGTCATGTAACACTAAATTTATATATACTGTAATATATCAGGCGTCGTGACAGTGTCATGTAACACTATATTTATATATACTGTAATATATCAGGCGTCGTGACAGTGTCATGTAACACTAAATTTATATATACTGTAATATATCAGGCGTCGTGACAGTGTCATGTAACACTATATTTATATATACTGTAATATATCAGGCGTCGTGACAGTGTCATGTAACACTATATTTATATATACTGTAATATATCAGGCGTCGTGACAGTGTCATGTAACACTATATTTATATATGCTGTAATATATCAGGCGTCGTGACAGTGTCATGTAACACTAAATTTATATATACTGTAATATATCAGGCGTCGTGACAGTGTCATGTAACACTATATTTATATGAGGTACATCCACCAAAAAAGTCGTGTCAGTCGTCCATGAACCTGTCATTCCGAGACATCAACACACAGTGCACCATCTGTGGGGCCAACAATGTGCGTAGTCTCGGGTTCACGTGTCCCAGGGTTCATGGATGGCATGGTGATCATGTATAACCTGTATCCACTTAAAGGTGTTCTATTTAAAATGGAGTAACAAAACTTATAATATAATACATAATTATATAGGTGTATATGTACTGTTCTTAAAACATTAACAATACCTTAAATACATTCTGTAGTATTATATTAATACAGTACATCCAGACTTGGTTACAGTAATAGTTCCAGATTTTATGAGTAGTTCAGTAGTTTCAGATTTTTACTGTACTTAATACTGTACTCCAGGATATCAGCAACTTACACACGGGACTATACTTTATAAACAACTTAACACAAGGAAATCTTCATTATAAACAAACTTAACACACGGAAATATTACACAGATATTCATAAACTTTAAGGTCTTCACTGTAATATATTTCAAAGCAGTTAACACACGTGTTAAATAATAACAACATGGGTGGAGGGATACACACCGACTCCAGTACACACATATAAACTGTCTGGTGTCCAAAGACCAACTGACGCTGCTACCTGATGACGCAGTCGACTCTTTTTAATATTTAACTAAGCTAACTGGAAACTCTGGAGTCGGGAAGGAAACTGGCAATTGCATTCAGTCACTGGCGCGCGTAACTTTAGCTGGGTATTTCAGTATTAATACAGAATATTTTACCACATTTAATATATTTTAATCTTAAACACTTAAAAAAAAAGTCTACTTAGAATAGTTATATCTTGGTTACCATAAGTCAGGTTAAGGATTAGAATGCGTTGAGGTTAGTGGTAAGGTTCGTTAGGATAGGTTAAGAAATTGGCAAGAGGCTAAAGTCGTTTCAGTCCAGTGGTTAAGGTTTGGTCTGGTTAGGTCAGGTTAAGGATAGGGTTTGGTCACATCAGGTTAGGCTGTGTTAGTATACGTTAAGGTTTGGTCTGGTTAGGTCAGGTTAAGGATAGGGTTTGGTCACATCAGGTTAGGCTGTGTTAGTATACGTTAAGGTTTGGTCTGGTTAGGTCAGGTTAAGGATAGGGTTTGGTCACATCAGGTTAGGCTGTGTTAGTATACGTTAAGGTTTGGTCTGGTTAGGTCAGGTTAAGGATAGGGTTTGGTCACATCAGGTTAGGCTGTGTTAGTATACGTTAAGGTTTGGTCTGGTTAGGTCAGGTTAAGGATAGGGTTTGGTCACATCAGGTTAGGCTGTGTTAGTATACGTTAAGGTTTGGTCTGGTTAGGTCAGGTTAAGGATAGGGTTTGGTCACATCAGGTTAGGCTGTGTTAGTATACGTTAAGGTTTAGGTAAGTTAATCAAAATAAATTTTGTTGGTGAAGGTAAACATTAGGTTAGTTAAGGTTATGTTAGACTAGACTACAGTTAGGTTAAGTTATTTCAAGTTAAGGTTAGTGTTGAGTTACGTAAAGGTAATGTTAGGTTAAGCTTTGGTTAGGTTTAAAAGTTTTATTAGCCTCTTGTGGTTAATACACTGACGTGTAGACAATTTGAAAAGCTCCTATATAAATTTTTACAAAAATATATAATTACCACATTGTTTATCGGACTGTGAAGAGCTGTTGAAAGCTCTGTGAGCTTCAAGAATGGTCTAAGAAATGGCTGCTAAGATTCAATGTCACGAAGTGTAAAAGGATGCACCTGGGACGTACCAACGGCAAGGAGGCGTATCATATTTATTTATTTATTTATTTATTATTAATATTTTTTTTGTTTGCAGGGATTAGCCCACCTGAGCACAGGTCACTGACCCACATCAGGGCCTGGGGGCGAAAATATAATAATAATAATAATAATAATAATAATAATAATAATAATAATAATAATAATAATAATAATAAGTACAAAAACAAAAACATAAATCAAGAGTGAGAAACGATACACATTATGTATGTTGTGTTGTCCAAGTAAGAGAAACAATTGAGACCCTGCAATTGTGTGTAAATGAAGCAGAAAGTCAGATTAGGAACCTGGGACTTAAGTCACAATTTTTGTGATGCCATATGGCAGCAGGGTCTACCATTAGATAACATTATGCTTCCAATATCTTCCCAGGCGTTAGTATCTCCCTGTTTGATAGCTGCCGACGAAGAAACAGCATTAATAGACTGAATGCGAAAAGGACCTGGGTGTGTACAGCATGTTGACAATGAACTGAAGTTCTCGAGCCATTGTGAGAAGGTGAGTCAAGCACCTAAATTATTAGGTCTTATAAGAAGGTCGTAACGATCTTCAAGAGTGAGGTCCTTCCCCGCCTGGCCCCCGAGATATGCTAGAGACTGCCAGTTGATTGAAATTGGGCCACCAGACTGGTGCCTGCACTTCGGCACCTCAGCTATTGAGAGAGATTAGAGCGCCTGCAACTGCCTAGCTCTTACTACAGACGGGCAAGGGGGACCCAATTGAGGTGTATAAACATCTCAAAGGGCACTACTCAGCCGAGTACCCTTACCTGGAGGGCGAGCGTCTACAGACGCTTGCCCCTACAAGGGGTCACAGCTCGAGGTTGAAGAAGCCGACAAGTCTAGAAAATTGTGAGAGCAAACTTTTTCGGAGTGAGAGTTGTGAACGCATGGAACAATCTGCCGGAGAGTGTTGTGACGGCACCGAGTGTGAGCTCTTTCAAGACAAGACTTGACCAACACTGGAGCAGGTTCAGTACATTCAGGAGCCGGTGCATGCCCAGTACTTGCCAACAGTGCGTAACAGAGACGTGACCAACCGCCCAAGCGGCTAACCAGCCGATCAGTGGCGAAGATAAAAGTAAAAAGTACACCTGCGCATTTCATACCGAACACATAAACTCACATGATGCCCGGCCCACCAAAAGTCACAACGTAATGTTGAACAAGCCAGATTAAAAAAAAAAGAAAAAATGGCAGGACAATCTTGTGAACTCTTGGAACAATCCGCCAGCGTTGTGACGGTACCGAGCGTGAGCTCATTCCAGTTCACAATTGACCAACACTGGTACAGAAGAGTACATCTGGAACGAACCAGTACTAGTGGTCCTTTATATTTCTACTATAAATATTTTTTGCCACGTACTAAATGTAACGAAGTTGGTTAATGTAGAATCTCCAGTACCAACAGCCTGTTTTCTTTTATTGCTGATACAAAACCTATGAAATATAAGTGTAAGTTATGATATATTGTACAATATATATATATATATATATATATATATATATATATATATATATATATATATATATATATATATATATATATATATATATATATATATATATATATATTCTTGATATTTTTAGTCCGAATATAATTATATAATATTGTTTAACTTTATTGTAACACACCAATAGGGTATACCCAATAAAGAGTATTAGATGTCTTATGACAATTCACACTGACTTTTAACTATAGGAAAACATTTAACGTTGAGACGTGATCACAGGGACCCAACGTGTGTGTGTAAAGCTCGTGTGTTTATCGGGATTATCCCACGTGATGCAACCTAACATCAACCAGCGCGGGCGTTCAATGGCGTCTTACCTCTCACAACAAAAACTCGTCCAGCCCGCCATCTTCCCACTCCCTGTGGCTGTCTCACTTGATATCACAATCTATTTCTCCCCACTACCTACGACTCTTTCCTACCAAGAATTTGCATAACGCTTACACCCAAAACCAAATCATTACATTGAAATTACTGCGTTCAAAATTGTCCTTAACTGAATCGACCAACCGTTTACCATTGTATATTTATAATGTTTATCAATGTTGTACAGGTATTCCTACACTGTACAGGCAGAGCGAATGTGAATTTGTATGGCGATTTTACTGAATAAATACGTTATAAAGCAGCAATTGTGATGATATTTGTGAATAAACTTGCTAACGTCATCCTGATGTGTAGTCCCATGGGAATTTTCGTATCTGACACTTTATATCTACACCTGAATTTACTGTACTGTATTTTTAATATTATTGAATTATAATGGTAAATACATTTGTGTGTGTGTGTGTGTGTGAGAGAGAGAGAGAGAGAGAGAGAGAGAGAGAGAGAGAGAGAGAGAGAGAGAGTGTTCCGCTCTTGCTCCCTCTTCAACCCTGACCTTCAAGATTCACTGATCACTGAGTGAAGGACAGTATCAAGAGGGAGGAGGACAAATACCTGTATATAAACTTAAATAATAATAATAATATAACAATTTCATATCATTTTACAATACACACAGATTGTCCTTAAAGGATGACAGCAAGAATCTTTTTTTTTGTATTAATTTTCATGACTCCACGAGTTACTGGGAAATATTAACAAACAATAATTCATGATATACTCAGCACAACACCAGGAAAATATCAAGTATGACATAATAATTCTCGGAAACAAAGGTAGCGCTTGTTTAAGCTTACCACACATCTTTTCCCTTAACTGCGAGAATGTATTTATCTGGTTCCCTTATAGATAAGCTATTTGCATTAAATACGACGAAGATGAATGTTCTCCGGTATTGGCAGTGTGAGGCTGTACTCGACTGACTCACTGAAACAAAAACATAATAGTTGAATTCTCAAACGTTCGTAAGATAACGAACTAGAGGTTAGAACACAATATATCCCGCAATGAACACAAAAATTAGTTTTCTAATGTTCATAAAATAAATGTTCCTCTGAGCTGAAGAAGATGCAACAGCATTTAACACGCTATCTTAACCTCGGGCACATAATGACAATAAAAAACACCGGCAAAATCAGTAAAATTAACTAATCTGTTTATTGAACAAATCATTGGAAACATGATAAGCTGCATAAGGAAGTGAGCCCGTATGGTAACATCTTGTGCGTGTTGCCATTTACCCAAACAAACTCTTCTCGTCAACTAATCCCCCAGTGTCGACTGAAGATGTGAGACTACCTACTTGGTTAATTTATGCTAGAACAGTATAGTAACATTATTTAACATCTTTTAAAAGACAAAATTAACCGTTAAAAAAATAAAAGTACATTACAATATCGTTTTGCCCCCAAGCAGGTGTTCCGCTGCGACAGTATCAGTATAGGCAGTCTCTTGTACAGTATTGCTGTTTTATTCCCTAACGAACCCAGTTAAGTCTCATTGTAATATTGTCCCGCAACTGCTGTTACGTGAAAGTACTCATGAAACGTTAAGTGCATTCTTTAATCACGAAGAACATAATCGAACGAACCTTTGTGAATCAAGACTGAGCAACAGCTTATTCGACACACTGGCGAGAATTATTCAAACTGGTTTTAATACGCAGTGGGGCAAAGAGAGTGCGTAATAAACTCGTTTAAATGTTAACATGTAGTCACGAATGTCCCATTATTTTTCTTACCGAGACAAAGAAACACCATCTCATGCATACAAGAACCTCAGTCAGCTCTATGGGTTTAGATTAGAGCGTTCTTATGTGTAAAACTTAAGAACTTTTGAGAATCCATCTTTGTGTGGTAGGGTGGGTGTGTCAGAGAGAT